GCATTTCGCGCCTCGAGGACCTATTAAGAGCCCCTGTCTATGTCTCGCGCGAATTCATTCGCGCCTTTATCGCCTAATAAATATTACGAGCGAAGCAAAGGCAACTGGGTGCTCGTTCCTCGTGTAAACCGACCAAACAGTCGTTCGAGAGACCATTCGAGCAACGAAAAACTCCGCGGTGTCTCGGAACTCGTAAGAATCGCTATTAAGGGCAAATCCAAGGGGCGATACACGCGCGCGAGGAAAATCCCCGCTACGATCGACGCTAACCGGCTCGTATCCATTCCTGGCCGATGTAAAACCTACTTTAATACCATTGTATTTCCGCTCTTAAGAATCTCCGTATCTTCAAACCGTTGCTGCTCGCGTCATGGGGGCACTAGGCACTCGAATTGCTCCCAAATCGTTTTAAAAATTAATTTCAGAGAAACGAGTACAAGTTCTGACTTTGTATATTAAGGATTAAGAAATTTGTAGTAAACTGAAAGGTAGGATCTTTCTCACATGATATTGTCTGCTCATCAAACTGCAATGTATCGAGAACTATACCAAGCACTTAAAACGGCATAAAGCGACAGGAAACGTTCCGTCACTGGAGAGATTCTCCCAAACGGCTCGCTCCTCCTCGAATTCGCGGCATCGAGGTCTCCCAAAGCACGCGAGAATTTCACGCCCGTTAAATTTAATCCTGATCGTCCTCGTTATACTCGCGCCACCGCTATTGACACATTCCGACGACCGTAAAAGTCTAATCAGCGTTCGACCAATCGAGATTACAACATCGCTCGAAGACGCCCCGAACGCTCCCGAGCCGCTTAATAACAATATTCGTAACAACTCCGGTGTCTCGTTACCGGGAATCCGTTCGGAAATTATCGTCGTCGAGCAATCAGCCTCGTAAAGCCCGCCGTTTAAAATGGCGACGGTAAAATAACCGCCGCGCGAATTAATTAAACCCAGCCAAGCCGACTAATTTTCATCGCGCTGATTTATACCGGAACCCCCGGAATTTTACGGCTCTCCGCAGTCAACAGAGAGAGAGAGAGAAAGAGAGAGTAGAGTTTTACACGCGTCGGGGACCTAGTAGATTTGCATTCTAATTGTTGCGCGATCCGACAAACAGGCAGCCATTACCAGAACAGCTCGAAATCGAGGATGGAAGGACAAGACCGGAGGCGGAAAGAGCGTCTGGATGGATCGGAGGTGTCGAAGAACGTCGACAGGCATGCAGGTCGTAAAAGAGGCAACGTAAAGGCTTATCTTATCGGGGGCCGATGATCCTTCCCGAAAATCGTTCCTATTACGTCAGACGCGATCCAGCCACCAGTTTCCGATAAATACGAGCAACCTCGGGATTAACCGCGCTCGGGAGCCCGTAAAATTTAATTTTCCTCATTTACCGAGGCTACTGAATTTTTTTAATTAAACCCTCTCCTCCTCTGATTCACTCCCCCTCGTCCCGGCCGCACGAGGTTTCCTTATGCCGATTTTTGGGTGAGTTGATCTAAGGACGACAAAGCTCGTCTGCTAAGCGCAATACAAGAGAATATCAAGGTATACTACCGGCATTTATAGTTATATCCTGCCCAATGGACGTCGAGTCAAGGATTCCCAGACAGCTGCGACTTTCCCAGGATCATCAACCCCAGACCCTGAAATGCTCTTTTAATTATCCTCGAAGAGACGGGATGATCGAGTCGCAACTAATTCGACACAATGCGAAGGAGTCACTGGCATCGGGATGTAACCTGTCGCTCCCACGACACGGGAGTTAATGAATACGTACTTAGGTGAGCGACTGGTGATTATGCTTAATCCTTTCGCTGTTTAATTCATACAATTGAAAAATGTACTGTAAAATGAATTTTGTTGTGTGTTGTAATTTTGTTTGAAGTAAATAAATATAGGTGGGGGGTTATTACGTGCAAGGAGCTCATGGCGAAGAGATCAAAGAAAAGCTGGGGACCGCACAATGGCGAACATTATGCGAGGAGAGAGGTTGCGCGCGATTTAAAAAATTAAATCGCGCCACCAAAGCCCGCGGTCTTCCTCCTTTCCTTCCTCCATTACCTTCTCCCATCCTTCGTCTGTATCTTGTTCCTTCGGCGAGGGATCGTAAAAAAATGCAACTAATTAACGACCAAAAAGTCCGCTCAGCGGGGAAGGTTTTTGTGCGGGCTCAGTTGAGAGTTCGGGCTAGTCTACTTATCGAATCTTTCTTTATTCGAATTTGTGACCACTCCGGTGATTCGTATACTCAACGAGTGTATGTCTCACACCAACTTCGCGCGTTTGCTTCTCTTTCCATTCGATCATGTCTCATTCATCGCACAGAATTATCGACGATCCCGATAGAAACAGACAGCTCGCTCCTAAATGAATCGAGCCAAGATTAGAGACTATGCGATCGAGCGTTCAACGATTTCCTATACCGCTCTCGGAGTAACTCCATCCAATATTTTCCATTGTGACAAAAAAACTCTGAATAATCAATACACACTCTAGGTAATCTCGTATTTAAAGGATGAAGTGATCGATAACTTCGTTCATATCACCTTCTCTACTAATCATCCGCGCCATTTTCTGAATAACACGAGAAACGTAAATTTTTCACATTCTTTCCTCAGAAATAAAGCATTTCTCAAAAGAAGCTTTAAATATTTTCTCATGTGCATCTTCGCTTGAATTAAAATTCTAAACAAAGTCCCATTTGACGAGACTTTTATTTTCCTCATTTCTCTACACTGGAAACTTTTTGTCTCCATCGTATTGTAAAATATTCTTTTAGTTTCGCCATTTATTCCAGGATGGATACCCCAGGGGTCCGTGGAGGACAGTTCGAGACACATTGAAGTAAAGGATCGAGTGTAAAAAAGCGACGGGCGCTCCATGGCGAGCGATCTATAATGAAGAATGCACCAGGGCGATGTGTCGCATACATATTTATAGGAGCCGACTCTGGCGGACAGATTTTACAGTTTACATATTAATTACATCGTTAAGGATTCCACGGCGCCGCGTGTACGGTAGATTACGGTTTTGATATGCGATTTAGGAGAATTAGCATGCGCGGCGGCTGACGCCGATACGACGACCGAAAAACCTATTCATGAATGCGCGTTGCGACTAGCGAAAGGACAACAATCGCACAACGAGACTGGAACGGAGCGAAATCGAGCAAGACAGGATTTTTAATTACGTTTACTAAACGATCTAAATGGAATAATGAGAAAATTAAAAAATTTTAGTCATCTCCTGATCAGAAAATGATTTGTTACGGATCAATAGCTGATGGATTTATTTTCTTTTTTAATCGGATACTTTAGATTATTGAATCGATCGAAGAAGGACGCCGAACCGTGCAGAAATGAAAATGTAACGTTTGAAGAATCGATTAGAGATCACGACAGATCTCGAAACGCGTGATCCGTCTCGACTGCAATCTAATTAATCTAATTAAGCCGCTAGAGTGGCTCGTTACTGCGCCGCGCGCGCGAGAGAGGAGAGAGCCGAAGAAACGTCCTGAAGCGGATCGGTAGCAAGATCGCTCGACGACGGGAGTACAGTCCCTGTCATTCTTCTAAGAGAACTTGTCGCTAACAGTAAAAAAATAATACTTGAAGAAAATCAATGCTCTGGAACGTCTAACGAACACGTGTATATATAATGAAAAGAAGCGGTTGATGCATAATTCAAATAATAATATTCCATTAAAAAATGATTACAGCATATCATTATTTAAATTATTCGACGATCGATTTCATTGATGGTGAACAGGTAACCAAGAATTGATCTTGTAAGGTTAATTTGATCTGATGCTAATAGAGATCCGTATCCGCTCGAGTACTTTTTCTGAAATTTCTGAATCGGTTTAACATATGATTAAGAAATGTGAACTAGTTCTTTTTTCTGTGCAAGTCGCAAGTACAGGGGCCACAATTGTGCATAATGTAGCAGACTTCGATACGCGAGTTCTTGTTTCCTAGTAAAAATTAAAAATACATAATTAATTTATTCCTGGTCGTGCTCGATGCGAATAAAAATCGAACAAAGAGCTGTGTATAATTTTATTGGAAAAATCTTACTAAAATTCTGAACAGAACTGTGGAATATACGTAGTAACAGTTAATTACCCGTAGTTCCTACTGCAATAAGTATCAAGGCTCTGTGAATGTTTCATGAACCAAGAACATTTAATATTTACCTAGGTTTCAGTCCAGAAATAGAAAATGAAAGTTCAAAGGCTAACGGAATAACGGAATCATCAATCGAAGAGATTGCCTAGGCAATTTTCATTTTAAATTCAATATGCATTTCAGTCAATCCAAGCGGTTCCCTCATTTCCTTGATTCCATAATTCCATTTCGACTAATACTATACTTATTCCCCCTTTTCATTATAAAACCAAAACTCATTAAATTTTCTTACTCGCGTTGTAATCGAACAACTTTGAAAAACACCGAGGAACCCCATAAATAAAAACAGTTAAAAAACTGACCTTAATAACTATGCTCGGAAAGGCATCCATCATTTTTATTCAATTATTATTGCAGGCATTATCATATCGAGAACTGAAATTACTGTTAAATCAGCTTCCCAAAGCGTGTAATTATGCAAAATATATTTTTGTCAGGGAGCTGCGACTCCAATTATTATTTGAAAAATCGTGGAATACTGGCGCGTACTGTACCTACGCGCGGTGTCCCCAAGATCGCCGATTAAATCGTTCGTCCGACGAGTTTTCTCGAACGGGTGACCGTGTGGCATGAAAACCGAGGCGACGCGGGAGTTACAAGTGTACCGAGCCGCTTCGTTAATTACGATCGTTAAAGTGCGTGCGCGGCAATTGCACGGAGGGATTTCCGTGCGCCGAAAGGATCGACTCGATCGTGTCGAGCTTACCGACGATGTCAGTTACCCTGCCCCGGACGAGCGAGAAGGAGGACGAAGAAGCGGGAGGAGAAAGTACGCGAAGGAGAAGAGAATTCCTGTCCACTTACCCATGGCGTCTGAAACAAAAGAAAGAGAGAAGCTTTAGTCGAATTTTGTCCGCAAAGTTTTCCGTCGATCATTACTAACTACCATTCCCACGATCGCCTCATTGTTAAGAGAATTCGAATAATTTTGAGTATTAACTCAGTGCGTACAAGTATTTTTTATACATTTTCTAGGTCTAAAGTTACTTGTTATGATCCGAAGGAGAATTATATGATTAAAAATGTTAAATAATTGATGTAATTATTTAAACATTTTAATGTCCATTAAGAATTCCAAATAAATAAATAGTGTCCAATAAATTTGTTCGGTGTAAAGCTGTATGTTCGAGAAAAGCGATCTTGAAAATTCCTCGGGCTCGTATGAGGCAGACGTGTCTGTCCATTACCGACTACTTCCACTTACGATGGCATTTGCGACTAACGACGGATGTGTGGTATCATTATCTGTTTCAATTGTTTTTAACTACTCATCAGATGTTATTTACTTGTCAAATCAAATGAAATCACTGAATCGTTTCACTCATCATTACAAATTACCTACAATATTGATAATTATAATAACGTGATATTCAACCCGACCTGCCTCAACTTTACCTACTTATTAACCAACCAAAATATAATAAAATCGATGGAAACGGTTAACATTACACCACTCTTAATAGTTGGAGAAACCTCACCACAAGTAGAAACAGCCAGCAATAGACAGACACGCCCAGCCAGCTCTCAACCAATTTTCGAAATCGATTTTCTCGAAAACGAAGGCTCGTATCGAATAACTCTATTCTACATTTTCGATTAACTTTTACACGTAGAGTCACCCTCTACCCACTCATATTTATTTCCCGATGGATAACTACAAATTTAACTGTTCAATCCAATAAACGCGACGAATGAAATGCTGTAGGTCGGTTTTATTCGCCATAAATCTGTACCATGTGCCGTGACCCTCTAATTTATTATTTCTCGATACTCCGTCAATGTGTCGACTATAATCAAAACTGAGAATCTAAAATATACGAAGTATCTCGCGAATCAGAGCCATTTGCTGGGTAATCGGTTTCCAATGTCCTTGAATCCTCGTCGAATGACTTTATGCGCAAAGAAGAAGACCAATGCGGACACCGCGCGGCAGAATGCTCGGCTAATTCCAGAGCTAATTGCCCTCTCGGCGCTAAAGAGCGGTTCAGGACGAAAAACGCACTTTCCGCGACCCGTGCAAAAGGGAATTAAGAGCGCGAATGGCATTCTTCTCCAACGGTGCGCCATACGGCTCGCAATTATCCGGGGCACCGACGCTACCCTCTGCCGGTTGCAAAAATGCGAAAATCCGTTTCCACGCGAATGCCTTTCGTTGCTTCTAATTGAAACGTACGACCAGTAGCCGTCGATGCGCATCTTTTTACCTCAAACGTACAAAGAAGCAGACAGAGGGAGACTGCATTACGGTAGGTGTCCACTTGAGAATTCTACTCTCGAGAGTTGCTACACAGAGTAAAAGTCCCTGATCGAATCTCTAATAGACTGCATCCACGAGCATAATAATTTCTAAAGCAACAATTTACACGATTACCCATGTCCAAAGAAAGCGAAGAAAATTTTCTCTTCAAATTAAGATATTTAAAAAAAAGAAAATTAATTTATCTAAAAATTTCAGTTACACAGTGACTGTCCATTACCAGTCAATCATATGGATGTGTAGGAAATGTTCAGACTGAAACCATGAACATTTAGGATCAGAGTTGGACCTCGGCAGACACCAGCTCGCGGAAATAATCGCCTTCCCAGCGATTAGCCAATGCAACGGAGTTTCGTGTCGATCGTTGCTGGCACGATCGCCATTCGAGATACCGGCAATTACAAAATGAGCGCGCCCGATCGCCGAACAACGGGATAATAAAGGCAACGGAGCAACGAGCGTGTTGAACACGCCGCTCGACGCTCGAAACAGCCCGCGCGGAGCATTTCACGGACGACTGGCGTCGGCTGCACCGCTTCTTTCTATTGTTACCGTCGCCGGGCCCGTGCGAGATCGCAGCGATTCATACATTACCGGTAATTAAAAAAGAAAACGAGGAAAGACAACCGACGCGTGCGACCAACGGAGACCCGCTCGAGCGGTCCACTCGTTTAGCGGCGATTCGACTATGCGATCTAGGCATGTTGTGCTCGGTGTTGGACAGCGATACAACTTGAAGGATGATGAGATCAACTTCTGATACTTGTGTCCATCTATCAGAAGATCCTTTACATGATGCTCAATAACCCACCACTTTATATCACCTTCAGAAAGAGTCCAGGTACAGAGAGTCCTTTCATCAGATCACGTAACAAAAGCGATACCATCCACTCAGATCAGCCTTCGAGTCTCCATTCCCACTTTCACCATCTCTTTCCTACTCCACTCCTCCCATCCTCGATCCACCGTATCAAACTGGTCCTAAACCATCCATGGATCATCTAATTCCCGCCAATCCAGTCCGTGGACCATTTCACGGACGAGCGGCGTCGATAACCGCGGCTTTGCATAACCTAGAAGCCTGAGCGGTCACTCATAATTCCTCGAGATAATCTCCGCGTGGGCAGGACACGAGGCCTTCCCGTGCCCCGTGGCCGCCTATCTGCGTTCGTCTATCTCTATTTATTATTCCTAGGCGCGACTCGGTGTCTCCGCGAGCGAGATAGCTCGGTACCGTGCGACGAGCCTTGGCAAACGAGTCCAGGGAACACGCGAGGACCGACCGTGTGCGTTCTGGTGCTCGCGTACCGACCGCCATTTACATATGTTGCAGGCCCAGCCAGCACCGCGAGGGGCGGAATGGGGGACGTCAGACTTTTTCGCACGCTCCCGCGTCGGCACGGCTCGTTGCACGTAGCCGTGCCTCGAGTCGTGTTCGAGCTGACTAACCCATTAGCGCCCCGGCTGCCGATCGACACGGCAAATCGATCGATAAAAGCGCCGGCGAGACCGCTTCCTGCCCTATAGCTGCCTAAGCCGCTCGAGGAGAAGCTACCATTCTACGATACACGCCTCTTTACGCGGATTGGTACCACTCTTCTGCCACATTCCCACGCGAGGATCGTGAAAATCGCCTAAGGAGCACCGAGAGTGGTTCGTTTCGACACGTAGGAGGCGCTTCGACCATTCAGGAGAAAATATTTCGAGAGTGTGATATAATGGATAAATGGGAATGTGGCTTTATGCACTGTAAAACAGTCACGGTTAAGTTTAGGATAATAGAAGGTTCGCGATAATGATCTTCCTGTCTCCACACCTCCTTTGCCCTAAAACACTCCTCCACACGCTAAGGAACACAATCGTATCTTCGTACCACATTTCCATACCATTCATTCATCGTTTCATACTAAATACTTCAGGCCATCGCGTTGCTTTTTATCCTACCGCGCGAAACGTACTTTAAATTCCGCCAGGAAACCACCAGGTTTCTGTTACCATAATTAGCGAGCGTCTCGAGGAGGGAAAGAGGGCTCGACTTCCGGAGGTAATCATGAATCAGGCCCCAAATAGAATATTGCTTAATTAAAGGCGCGAGAAGAAAGATAGAGCCTCGCGGTCGCTGGAATAAATTAGAGTTCCGTTGCGGGGGAGAGGGAATGCTGGGGATAGATATAAAATATAATACGGGTGTCTTAAATATAGACAGAAAGTTATGGAGACAGGTCAGGGGTGAAAATTGGCGGCGCGTCTATAAAACGGCGAGCGGATCCGAATAGACCGCGCGATGAATGACACGATGACACGGAACGAGCGCGATAAATCCGACGGTAATCGTTCCGACGCTGCCAAAAGAGAGCCCACGTCTGAGCGCCGCGACGGACGCCGACGTATTCATGGATCGCCTCTGACTGCCCGTTTCGAAATCCGCGTCGAAATCATTGAACGAGGTCGATCTCCGAAATTCGACGCTGCCTCGTGCAAGATGAATTTCTGACGATGATTTCAAGCTTGTTCTGGGGACTTTCATACACTTCGAGTAGACAATTGAAGAGGTAGATATCGTGAACGTGGATTTTCATATTAGGTGAACTATGTCACTCATGTCCTGAATCATCCTATGTTTGTGACCTGATTCATACTCCACTACACGATTTTCTGATCCTTCCAGACATCAAAATCCGTACCTTCAAGTCGGCATTAGTTCATGCCACCAGCTGTGATATATCGTTAATGTATAGATCACCCACCCACTGAATCTGTGCCAAGTCAGACTCAATCTCGGTCAATCAGTCGAAGATCAATTTCCAATCCGTGCTATTTAGTTCAAGTTCGGTCTCAGTTCCGCAATACCGCACCAAGTTGTACCTGCCATTGTTAGTTGCTCGAACGTTAGTTAACGAGCTGGTACTGCATTCCTCTCTAATGTCTATTGCAGCATCGGTCCAAGCTTCTGCTATCATATGGCAGAGTAGTGCTGCTCTGAAGTCTGAGAGGACCTGCCACTTTTATACCATTATAGAAATGATGAATTGTACCTATCATACGACTCAAAATGTTCCCCAGCACATGTTACCCTGGTCACTCGATAATGCCCAATTAAACGCCTGAATCGATCCAGTCGAATTCCTCAGCCGCGCGCAAAGTGATCCAGGGGAGAGAAGCTACAGACGGTCCAAATTTTCGAGATGGTTCCCGCCTATCCAGGTTTAATTTGTAGCACGTTCTTGCTACCAGGGGTGACGAGGAGGCCCGCTCCGCTCGCTGGCGTCGGTCGGTTAGTTAGCGCGAGCTGTGGCGGCTGCCGATGGTCAGCGTTTCTTGCCCCCGGTCTCATTTTTGCTGCTAAAACATCGTCCCTAATTAATCTCCACGGCTCCTCCCGTCGGTGAAGCCGCCGCTAATATGGACGAACGGTGACAATGGCTGGCAGCCCGCTCCCGACGCCTGGAATCCGCCGAATTCAACACGCCGTGGCGGCACAGTCGACGAAAAACACGGCTGGCGTTTAACACCGTCCCGAAGAATCGGGCCCAGGGGGCCAGGAGATCGCCTAATG